ACCACCACCACCACCACCACCACCACCACCACCACCACCACCACCACCACCACCACCACCACAACGCATCAGTTCATGACAGACGTTGAGTTCCATTGATCAGCTGCTAACCTCTAGAGTCTGGTTATATGCAACCAACCAGGATCCAAGGTGAATTGCACTGCATTTCCTGGAACAAATGCTTGCATTAATTGCTCGTAGACCACCTCGCATTCACAAATACGCAGTTAATTTGCAAAACTTGGTGTGCACTCGAGTACAGTCACAGGTTTTTATGCAACGTCATGGCAAATAACCACGAAACCCAGCTAGTTCCAGTAAACACTCTCCTTGTTTCTGTAAACACGGTAATTAGGCGTGCCTCTCTCATAATTGCCACTTCCCACATGGTTATGATCGGGTTTGTTGTGAATTTCTGGTGTTTTTTTATGGATTGCTTTCAAACTGAGGATTATGCTTTTAATGTTGTGTTCATCAATATCATCTCCTGGTGCTACTGTGGTTATTGCTTTGCTTCTTAAAGAACCGATTGTCAATAATCTGTCTGCATGTGTTCCCATGGAGGCTACTATTGAATGTTGCAAATAGGCAAGGGAAGTAGCCGCTTGTTCATGCATTACGTTCACCCAAGTGGATGTTTATTGGTTCTCTCAGGACACCGTAACCACCCAAATGCGTTTAATTTACAGATTCCCACCACCATCACTACCACCTCCACCTCCTCCTCCTTATCATCATAGTCATCGTCATTGTGACATCATTGCCGAAGATGCCATGTTGTGAATGTGCATTCAGTGCAACTTCTCCACATCTCAAATATCTGGTGCTTCTAAACTTGGTAATGCACACCATCCATCAACACTACTAATAATCATTTTGACGAGGCGACGATAGTCATCTGTGATCTTCTCTTAAGGTAAAGCAAACATGCCAATCACAGGACATCTGCTTTGATGATTTACCTCAAAACCTCCACACTTTCCAATCTACTTCGGGACTTGGGGATCAGATTCCATCACCCCTAACCAGACTGCAGCAAGTAGGCGTCGAGTCGGTCTGGTGCAAGTTTGTGTGTACTTAAGTACTCAAGTCATATCGCCTGATTTACGAAACCTGTAAAGTAACCACGTGAAGTAGCAGTAACATGTGATGCGAACTGGTCTATCAAACACTTCCTTCAACCTCCTCTTTTTCCGTAAACGCTTTAGTAAAGTGTTCGCTTCCCCTAATTGACACTTGCCTCGTAGATGGGGCAAGGCACTTGTGGATTATGCACTTTGTTTGGGTCGAGGGGACTAGAACTTGGCATTGGGTTTTGTTGTTTTATCGAATGTCTTGGCATTTATCGATTTTTCTAGCTAACTTCTGCTCATGCTGTATATATCATCAATTGCTTTTTGAAACAATAACGCTGCCTTGATTACTTAAGTTAACGTTTTTCTAAAAATGCATATATTGAAATTTCCGAAAATGGAAGTCAGATAATTTGGTCATGTAAACGGTTCAACTGCGGTAGAAGTTTATTTGTTGACACTGTCCATGCAAAAATATGTAGCAGTGTACTCTGCCAGCACTCTCATTGGCAAGTTATTGCCACCAATGCCATCATTACCCTCCTTCCATCTCTAGCATACAGTGGAAAGTCTCCATCTTCGTAAATATTTGGCGCTACTTAATCCGGATCAGCACAACTCTCCTCAGTACAATCAAGAGGCGGTTGAACAAGATGACGTCATTGCATCAAGGCAGGTGTTTAAATGAGTTGGTTGGTGAATGCCATGCAAGCACTGCCACGTCGTCCTTATCAGGCGTGTCGACTTTGGTAGCGTTATCCTCGCCTCATTCATCCTGTCTAGTAATTCAGATGATTGAACAATGGAAGCATTCACAGCAGAGACATTGGTGCAAATGGCCCCCGACAGTAGTTCCACTGGATCGGAAGACGGGAAAGTCATGTTGATTTGCTTGAATGCCCTTATTTGGGGTTGTCCGTAGGAAAGCATTAACTGGAGTTAACTGACTCGGTAATCTTGACCTTAAGGGGCGCTGGCTTGGCTCACTGTCTGTTTGTGACGTGTGGCAGCAGAGGTCAGTTTTCTTATTCAAGGAATCACGAAAAAGAGGAAATTGAGTTGATGCGCATTCAAAATTGACAAGGTGAATAAATTTCTGATTGATATGGTTCTGATCCATAACTCAGCAATCCTTAGAAGACCAGTGATGTAAAAATATCGATCGATGATCAGCAATCTAGAAATCGATATCACCGCGTGCAGTGCTGAACAGCAACACATCCGTTGAATGCCGACATGAGATTATATGTCTTCTGAGCTATTTTTAGGTACTAATGCACAGTGACACCTTTGGCAACAACTAGACGTCTGTTCGATGGTGATTATTGCAAACTGCCAACAAACTGTGGCAATTTGAGGTCAACTGTCGTTAGTCACCTTTGGACTACGGAAACCTCAGCTTACAAATCTTTTAAAATCATTGTAATTAGAGCCATACCTATTCAATGATCTCAAATACTTGTATCGATAGAAATTTGAAGAAGCAGCAAAATCTGTTAAATTGACTGGGTTAAACCTGACTGCCTCCCTCTATTATTGATCTATGGCGACGCGTTATTACCTGATTACCTTAGTAGTGGATCATCAGTTTATGCGTCAAAATAATATTCTATTGGTTACATAGCTCTAAAGCGTTCATTGATTTTTCGAGTGTCCGTGACCTTGGCTTACAGGACAAGCAAAATATGTGGCGCATTTAGGCTTCCAAAATTCGGCACCAATCAGATTTTAGCAGATTGCACGAGCTGACGAAAATTTGCATGTTTACACAAGCCTCATATTTCCGCACCAACCTGCCTTCATCAGGAATCGTCAACACAAAACAAGCTGCTTTTCCCACAAACGTGAAGAGACGCAGTCTTTTGTGGTGCGAGTAATTTGCCTCAATGATTAACCAATAGGCGCATCTGCTTCCGCGGTGGCGTGTGTCTTACTGCCGCCTTTGAAAGTGTTGTCGATTTAAAAATGGAGTAGGTTGATCATGGTTACTTTCAATTGGCCAATTTCGGAGGATTAGGAAGGAGCTGAGGTCAATCATGTACACTTGAATTGCCATAAACACAACACGTTTGGTTTTCGGGCATCAATTTTCCCTGAGTTAAAATTGAAATCGATACTGCACAGCATCGGCAACACGTGGCCCCAAGTGAGTACGACATGAATGTCCACCAATCACCGATAATCAATATTTTCGTGATGCCTGTCTGTCCCTCAACCCGTTGGTCTTTAGCTTGACTGTTATTGTAGTAATCTTGGTCAATGTGGCCAATGAGCTGCAAAGTAGCTACAATCCATTTAGCATGCATTCAGTAACAGATTGCATCGTGTGGGGGTTCAGAAGGGTTTCTTGGAACGGCAGTCACACTCACGCGCATTTTCTAACTGCTGACCCGCGTTTCTGGCTCACCGTTCCATATTGAAAGGCTTTGTTGAACCTGTTTTGCCTAGGTCCTCAATATGTCGGCTTGTCATTCATGGAATTCTGTCTGCTGTAGCCGACGAACGCAACGTTTTCTACGCTGAATTACTGGATCGACATTCTGCGACCAAAACGCCGCATCTGCGCATTCATCTATTCTTCGTTGTTAGCTTCGAGAAGGTGGCCATAAAGTAGCACTGTTGACCTCTGACACGCAGACGCTGTAACCGCCTTAACACAGTCTCCAGGAACTGACAGTTCACTGATTGCAGCGGACATCATTTTGTGTAGGCATTATCGTGCCAGACTAGTGGTTCATTCAACTGCAATATGCTTTAATTTGAACGGGATCCAAACTCGCGTTGGTGGTTGTACTGTGATTGTCTTTAAACCTCTCTCAAATGCCTTGGCACAGGTGACCTACACACATTCCAAGCAATGGGCCTTGCCAACTCGTCACCATCACAATCTCCAACAGCGACGATAACGACAGTGTTGATAAGCTTGACTTTGCCCTAGCCTGACTCCAGGATTGCACAGACGGTATGTCAGTAATCCAACACGAGATGCGGACGTGGAATTGTCAGAAGTGACTGCTGCGATCACTTCATCGTCCAGTCAACACGCTGATCCTCTCTGAAATTGCGCATCCTCAAACATGCCTCGTGCAACTGTCGATTGCTTCTTGTGTGGTGTAGAGAGGCCTGCTGTAAGTTTTGATTTCATTACCAGCTGGCAGAATAGATAATCAATATTCGATCGAATTTGAACATTCCGCGTGTTGGGTATTGGCACTCAGAAATATTGTAATCGATTACATGCTACCGGGGTGCTACTTTGATCACCTGCTTCAAACGCAAATTTTAGTTCGATAAACACATGAACCACCTAAAATTTGGCGAGCTTGCCAGATTCAAACCTGCTCCGCATTTGCTGCAGCGCTACTGGACAGCCAAAGTACTGGATGTCTATTGGATACAACCTGGAAACCAACAAGCCTGATTGGTTGAGTGGGTGCCTTTGTGGTTATGGACCATGCAGAGTATCGTTCCATGATTTATAGACCCTCTCAAGAGTAACCAATTATCGTCAGGTGTGCATTTGTGAAACAGTCAAAAGTGACCACTCACTTTCAAGGGCACTTTTTAAATTTATAAACCATGGCACTAAGGAGTTTTTATCCAATCCTCCATTTTAGATTGCATTGAAATGTTATTTAGTCTGGTTCATGTTTAGCGTAGCTATCTGATCAACAAAGGTATTGACTTCTTCGACCTTGACACCAGCAAACCTGATTGGTTGAGGGTGTGTTTGGTATTGGTGAGAGGTCAACAAGGCGGTCTCATATGTGCCTTTGTGGGTAGGAAACATTTGGCTAAAATACCTGTGACCAAGAAACTGGAAAAGTTTTGTTTTGTGTGAAAATTTTGACCAATCACGAATCCAATGAACTTGGCATGCCTGCAGATACCGTTAGAAGATGATCGAAAACACGAAAATTGGGCAGTTTAGTGTGTGTAGAATTGCACTGCCACCACGTCATCTAGTGAAGGCCGTTTTGGGAATAAAAAAAGCCCCCCCCCCTTAGCGTTGGTCGCTTTAATAGACAGCTTCAAGGGTTCACGTCATCACCTTTTATCATCGGGTCGGAAGAATTCCAGCCAAAGTTGATAACGCAGCCTAGCAACCTTTCATTTTTTAAATTGAGGGATATAATAAATGAAAAAATTGTCCAGGGTTGCATTATTTAATGGAAAAGGAAGGCTTGCGTCACTGTTGAAGATTAGTTTATCAAATAGTTAATTTTCGAGGTTAATCTAGGCGCGTTTGCTCTATCGATTCGCACGGCGAAAAATTGTGTGCTAGCGATCGATACTCAAATGCCTCATGCGCGGCATTTAATTGGCCAATAGAAAAAAGGAGTTTCTGCCTCTTGGCTTCTTGTCTGGATTTTCATATTAAACTAATTTTAATGAAATTTGATTATTGGAAGTCACATGTTTATGCATGTTTCTGTTGATGAAGACGACGGTTGATTGTTGACATGTCAACTTTATGACTACTTACCCACTGTCACGGAAAAGTTTCTAGACTCCAAGAAAATGAATGACCTTGAGGTGAACTCAATTGGACCACTCGAATTACTTAATAAATACTGACAAATGTGGGTATGAACGATGGCGATAATATTATCTGCCAACACTTATGCATTACTATCGACGTGTTTCGAGTGTTCAAACGAGCAATTTACACCGGTTTTTTTATTGGTGGTCGGAAAAGTTTGTGTTAATATAAACAAGATGCCGGTATTTTGAAAAACGATTTTACAATGCTTTAATTAAGACCATAGCAACAAGTACTGGATAAGCACTTTCATAATGATCAACCTCTTGACTTTGATCATTTTTTTAAATGTCGAGTTTTACTGAGAATGAAGATTAACAATTATACACTGATTATAACACAAACACTACTATATGTTGTACGTAGGACATTAATACTAAAAAAACCAATACAATTATCTTTATTTGAAAGGCTACCTGAATTGCAAGCAAAAGTCATTAACTCATCAAAGGAAATGAGAAACTGACAGTCAATTTTACAATTGTCGGTAAAATTTCGAACACCCACAAAGGCAAACTAATCGATTAATTGACTTTGTTTACTTACAGATAAATTAGCCAGACACCTTCCAGGCTGTCTGAGTCATTGTCTCGGTGTTACAAGCAACTGTAGAGGTTACAAAAAAAAAACAAGAACATAGCTTTTCGGGGTCAGTAGATCTAAATTCGTAACTCTGCCTAACCACTCTAACCGAGTAGTAACACAGGCGTTTTCGCCTGGATCAATAAACTGAGGCGCACAGGCAGTTCATGAATGTGAAAAAGTATGGTGCACTGCTCACAAAATGCACAAAGTTTAAAACGATGACACCAGTAAACATGCACAGCCAACAAGATTACACAAATCCACTGTTACTCTTGGAAAAATAAAAAAATTACCAAGCAAACATTGCGGTTCGGGGAATAATGGACAAAAAAAGACACTATTTACTTTGATTTCAGGACTGAAAATGCCACCAATGGCTAGTAAAAAAGAAATGTTTGATACCTAAAAATATTTGCAATGTGCACTGGCAGATGATCGTAAACCATGAATAGTTCCCATTGATTCGAAATGTTACCTGCTATGTACGATAAATGTTGATCTCGCTTATTAATGCACGTAAAATTCATGGTGCCTAAAAGTGGGAATAAAAAAAGGTTTCAGAATAAAAACGTAGTTCAAAAAAATTCGAAATTTGGGACTTTCTCAGGGACAAATTATGGTTGCTCTTGTTTAAAAAAAGGCCATGTAAAAGCTGACTAAACTTGACAATATCCCTATGATAAATTAAATTTTTACAATGCTTTCGAACTTCTTGAAGGACTGATGGATAATGAGTTTGATGAAGCATGTTTGGTTGAATCGATTATTTTAAACAATATAAATGCACGAAATATGATTTAGAACATCATTATATTCTGGATCTGACTTCTCATTAAAGAGGATACGCTTGGTATCAGGTCGAATAGTATTAGTAGTATAGTGATCGAGAATAGTTTTCTGAGATAATTTTCAAAATCTAACATACAGTTTTTAAAAAATTCAACTTCGTATTAATTATTGTTACTTTAGCCGCATTTACGTAATTTATAAATTAAATTGTGTAATTTCAATATTCTCAAGAATTAAATATGAGTACAACAGTCATCTTTGTTGTACTGTAATGCCTATTAATTTTATGCCTAAAATATTCATGCAAATTGTTCCACTTGCCTGCAACAATTTTTCATACGAAAAGTTTCGGAAAACCAAAACTTTTACCAATCTCAGAGAAACTGATTTAAACTCTCAAGGTCAAATTAAAGTGGAATTTACAAGTTTTGGTTTTTGTAATGTCTGGCGGTTCGATACTTTGGGGTATTAATTTAGTGTACTTTTTGGCCTTTGGATCTCTTTATATACAGCTTCCAGGTTAGTATATTTGTTGAAATGGTTGTATTTTTGAATAGGCCTTATTGGAGATGATGGTGTTGCACCTGTTCGGCTTCTGGATCTCTCAAGTAACATTGTTGACATTTTGATATGTGTAATAGGCCCAAAAACGCTTGAGGATTTTGTCCTTGGTATCCCGTCTGTCATAAGGTTCCGTGAGAGCTTCAATTTAAGTGCATACCATGCTGCTGAACTTCTCGTTCTCATCGGCCTGTCTCTCTCTTTCTTTGCCTTGGCAGCGCCACAGTTACGTGGTACATTGTCGCTGATAATTCAGTGGATATCATTTTTTTCTGTTGTGAAGGTAAAAAGCACACAAATTCGACATTTTCTAGATCTGTCCGAGTTACGCTAATTGGAGGTTTACGTCAATTTTGGTCGAAACTGGGTTCCTCTGTATTTTGTTGTCCATCAAGCTTCGGAGAAGTCCGAATTCCCCAGCATCTGGAATCGCAATTTGGTTAATGCGATGGCTTCTTTTCAGAGAGGCCGTTATAACGGGTTATACCAAGCTTACTAGAAGTTCTTACTCATGGTGGGATCTCTCAGCAATGGAACACTATTTTACTAATCAAGTGAGAATTTTATGCCTAACCAAAGGCAATAACTTGCCTAAGGCCATTAATTTAACATTACTTTGGTCAGCGGAGCTGACCTAGTCAGTTGAATTGTCTTTTATTTGAAAAAAAAACTCTGTTCAGGCTGTAGTTTTCAGAGGTTGAATTGGTCGATAATCCTAACAACCTGATTCAATTTGCAAGCAGTTTTCACTAATTTTTTTCAGCCCTTGCCTGCACCACTGGCGTGGTTTGTCGAGACGAATCCCACTTGGATTCTTCGTTTATTCACAGCAACGATAGTCGTTTTTGATGTCTTCGTATCCTTCCTCTTCTTGGTACCCATACGCCAATTGCAAATATTCTCCTTCGTTTTCAAGGTATGATCCAACACGTTTTTGGTTTTCTCTATTACCGAGGCAACCGTCATTCAGGGTATTTCGGTGCTAAATTCACTTGCGCACCTCTTCTCTTGCAGTTTCTCATGCACGCCAACATGATGGTTTCCGGAAACTACGGCACCTACAACATTTTGTCTATCGTTTTGAGCTTCGCTCTGCTGCCACCACCACCGCCGCCGCCTTCGAAAAAACGAAGTAACCTCTTGGTATTCGTGTCACACCACTCCTTCTGAGCACCATTTATTAGACCACACCCTGCTCTAGAGTGAACGGCGTTGAGTTCCGTGTTGGGTTTACTCATAGTCATTAAACCAATTCGACCACTGATTTTTCTGCTCTGCTCATGCCGCTAGCGGTGTTCCACCCACCATGAAAGTGAGGGCCTCTCATGCGTCTTCACACTCAATTTAATGGCTGTTATTTATTACGCGTTAGTTACCACATCACATACCAACACATGTGTGAGGTGCTTGTGTTTTCATGCACCGAATGCTCTCATTAATGCCACTTCGTGAGTTGTGCAAATTCAGTTATGTGTAGTTAACAATGCTCCGTGTCGGTGTCGTTGTAGAGAGAGACTCGTTCACTTGTCGCAAGGCTGCGTCCTGGGCAGTAACTCTAGCGGTTCTCGCGGTCATGTGCTACGGCGTGTGGACCGTCTTCGGCTTGCATGACGGACTCAAGTCACTTCGCATAGGTAAGCGACATCCCCTCTTTCCCTCAACCTTCCCACCAATCAGATGACGTAGCAACTAGGCTCGCCTGCAAAATTGCGCGGTTGCTTGTTTGTTTGTTTATTTAAAAAAAGAAATGCCACGTATGCACGTGCCCGCTTTACGAGCTCAAACGTGCACGTCGTGCCGTCTGGCTTCGCATGCATCCTATTGGCCACCACCAGTGAGGCGCGCGCAAGTGCGCTCATGCCGTGTCCACCAATAGCGACGCAGCGTGGACACTAAAATGCCAAAGCCCTCATCCTTCTCATCGTCACTTAGACGTTCTGAGTAATTGCCAACATGCTCTGACATTGGTGGGGCTTAGTACGGGTAAACGCCAACATGCAGAGATGTTTTGTTGAAGCAGTGACATCGTTTCACTGGTTAACCTTACGAGATGTCCATAAAATATGCTGAGTCTAGAAATTCAGCTCGTGACAGCGTCAAAACCTTGTCTTGTGCTGAAAATTTTTACTTTTGACCCACCACACTCGACACACCATGTGGTTCGTTGGTGGGCTGTCTTCCCCTGTTGCATGTCCCAAATAAAGTGGATAATTATCAGCCAAAGTAAATTGCTTTTTTCCAATCCAGGCCACGTTTTTTCACTATTTGGCCCTCCAGGTAACATCGGTACACGCGGGTTCTTTTAAAAGTTCGCGTTGACCACACCTAGCGTCAATAAATTAAACTGGTGCGTAGTCCTTTCATCACATAAGCAGCTTGACGCGATCGCGGGCCCCCATGGCAACTCGCGAATCGCAAAAATTGACAACTTTTTGCGCTGCCCTTCCTCCCACCAACTCATTCTTCTCTCCTTCCTCCAGTTATTCCGCGTCACGCCTTCGTCGCCTACGCCAGACGGGTCATGTTCTACACCATTCCCATCTCCACTCTCCTCTTCATCTTCACGATCATCACCGCCGCGTTCAGGTAAGTTCCTTGTTACTTTCTTTTTGGCTCAAACGCTAGATGAATGTCAATCGTAGTTTGCAAGCGCGCGAACTTACAGGTGTGCAAGCCTTGCTATGATTGAATTTTACAGGGGGTGCTAATTAATCATCGCTAAATGACAGCCAAGTATGCAGTCGTTTGAAAACGCGCGGCTGACAGCCAATTAAGTAGCCGCCGGGTGACTGCTGGCTTTTTTTGTTGTTTAACTTAGCGCCTGCACACATCTGCACTTAGCTCGGGAACTGGATTTACGACTTATCGGCTGTTTATTTGTGTTCTACAGGGCCCTCGGAGCAAGGGGGTGCATGAACAAGATGTTGGACCTCTCCGGAGTTCTCCTTGTCAGCCTTTTGGGCATTGGCCTCTTTGTGGCCTCACTGGTAAGACTTCGCACCTCCTATTGGTCAGTTAGCGTGGCTGTGGTCTGGTAATGAGCCAACCACGGCGTGCCACGTCCTCCTACTGGAGGAGTAGCTAGTTTTCGTGAAATCACTTAGCGCATAGTAGCTCCTCAGACAGTTGTTTGCTCCTGGTGACTCAGCCTATCAACGACGAGGTGAGTCATCAGGTAAGCGGCCTGTTTGTGTGCGACAGAGGCAACCTCTTAACCTCCCCTGTTTTCGTAGCCACCTCTGTCGAACCTAGAAGACACCGGGAGCGTTGTGCTGTTGCCCCGATCCGTGCATGAAATCAGCGCGGCACTAAAGCCTCTCCACCTTGCCAACGACTACCGCTACTACCACGAGTGAGTTTGTGCTGGCCTGGATGCCCTTATCACTTTTGCATTGTGAAGTTGGCATGAAAAAGCAGTCGGCACGCGCGCACTCCGTCTAGATTACAATTTCCCCCGCAATGTTGATAGGTCTTGTCTGTAGAGATTCGTGTGGATGTGATTTCTAGCATTCTCCGAGCACTGTAGCGAAGTGTCCGAAAATTTTTGGGGAATTTTGACGCCTCTCACTGTTCTCCGCCTAGGCATGATTCGAACGTGCTGATGAAGACACCAGCGGAAGGCCGGTCAACTCTTGTTCTCGAGGGCGCAATGAACGAAAACGGACCATGGAAGGAGCTCTCGTTCTACCATGTGCCCGACCGCCTCGAGAAGATACCCACCATCATCCGTAAGTGCTATGAGTTTCCGTGGGGGCGTAGGTATCATTCTGGCTCGCTCCACCCCCACTAACTGCCGCCTTCTGTCTTTTCAGCTGGCCACTTGCCTGTGGTGGACCTGGAGGTGGTGTTGAGCGGAGACAAGTCGTTCGAGAACTCGCCAATTCTTGCCATCCTCGTCTATAGAATACTAACCAAGCAAAAAGAAGGTAGGCTTCGCTTCGGTTTGCTGGAACCACCCACAAAACACGACTGAGTCAATGCCTCCCCATGAGGACGTTTCAGAATAAACGTGCACTCCAAGTTGAATGGGCCAATGGGAGAGGCGCGGGTGATTTAAAACCAAAAGTTGGTGTGTATAAACCGACCAATCAGACGCTTACAGCGCAGGGGCGCCATTCCACAAATGTGTCGGGCGTTCGTGTTCGTTTCTCGCTTGTCTCTTCGTGGATGTGAACGACGAGAAACGACAAATTCTACAAATAAGCGTCAGGATTGGCCCCGAATGGCACCAGTTGGGTTAACAAAACAACTGTTTAAGGATGCCATGCGTATCCATTCAGGAGCAATTGATGCTGTGAAAAAAAGTGGTCTGAGTGCCAAATCGACTTGAATTTGTGCAAACGTCTGTGCTCTTTTAACCCACATTCCGCCACCACCAGCCCAGTTCGCCTCTTTCCTGCAAGCGTCTACGCTTAAAATAGCCGAGAGTAAATAAGTTGTTTTGGCGAACGACCACACAGGCGTCTGCTCTGCTCTGTGGAGTTATTTACGACAATAAATTAGCCCCATGCGATCGATTTAGCGGGTTTGGTAGCGGCATTTGTTTCTCGCCTTTTCCCTCGCATAATGTTAAAGTTTCGGTCGATGACTGTTTTAGTTCTTCAACTCATTGAGCCAACTGGCTTCATTGACGGTCCCAAGTACATTCGCATTAAAAAGTACACCTACCAGCTGACCAAATCGATGAGCGGGTGAGTTTGATTGGTTGGACGTCAAGTCGATCCACATCGGGTTCGTTCGTTCGTTCCTCGACTGTTTCTCTCTCTCTTTTGTCTCTCTAGCAAGGAGTGGTGGCAACGCAGGCTGCAGAACATCCACCTTCCACCGACGCACGCCTCGACTCCACGACTAACACAGCTCATGGACAAACTCGGAATCACCGGCAAACGGGTGAGCCGGTGTGGGCCTTTCAACCACTCCCACACACACATCCTCCTAACTGTGTGCTTTTTTGTGCGTTGTAGCGGGAGCGTCCAGCCGACGCGACAGTCATCTCCACGTCCCTCGACAAAATTCGCGCAATGGTCGGCCAGCCACACAACCTGAACGGTTTCTACGTTGTCTTGGTGATCGTCCTGCTCATGAACAAGCTGTTCTAGCCTGCGTTGAGCATTCCCCTTGCTACCTGAATTCTCGTGTGCGCGTAACATCGGTCATTGTATTTGTCCATTGAATCGGGCAAATAAAGGTTGTAACAAAACGGACAGTTTTCGTCTGCAGCTTGCGCAAATCAATTGCGATCCTCATGTTTAAATTGCATGTCTACTGAATTCCAGTAAGTAGACATTTTGCAAAACCCAAAGTAGGCACAGAATAGGGTTCTCAATAGCAGTAATAATACATATTTGGTGAGGATAAGATATGTACAGCAGGGCCAAATCAGAGCAGACGACAGACGAAGACGTTGAGAGCGGTGGAACGTGATAAATGTGCCTAAAATGCAAAGCACGCGGTCAAGTTCAAATCCAAGTGACTTTCAAAGCAACGACATTTCAGGCGCCGCGTTTCGAAGTGCAACTCACGGCATGGACGACGCGGAAGAGATCTGCAGAGGGACGGGGAGGTGATGAGACACGCGGGTTTCCAGCGTCGACAGAGCGAGAATTTCGTGGTGGGTGGCACTACAGGGCGGTGTGTTGGCGTCGCAGTTGGAAAACTTGTTGCAAAAACTACAATGCACAAAGCAGCGTGAACATTTTAAACAAACCCCTAGTGACCTTGAACACACGCAGCCCATTGGGCCGATGCCCGCCAATCACAAGCTAACTGGTTTTATAATCACGAATCGGGTGGATTAGAGGAGACAAAAGCAGTGAACGCACGTAGATGATCATAGCTGAGCCCCCGCTGACGATTGGCTGGGGCAGGTCGCGCAGGGGGCAGTTTTCGACACTCAGGATGGTCAACACCGGGCACTGGGACATCTCCGCGGGAATATTGTTCAGATTGTGGTTGTCGTTCAGGTAGAGGTCGCGGAGATTGGTCATTTGGCCTAAAAAACGAGGAACGCTTTTTAGCTACTTGTGTGTGTGTGGCTAATTAATCCAACCAAATTGCGCACTTGGCTGGCCAATGAAATCGCACGCACGCACACAATTTGATACAAATCTGAGATAGCGTGAGGTGGTGAGGGGTTGCGGTTAAAACTAGAGACAAAATGCGGGCATGAAAATGCAATTCTCGTTTTAAATAAATGTGTTCACTTGTGGCTGTGACCTAACGTGGCTTCACGGTCGCGTTAAGGTTTGAAAAAAAAGGGAACGCGGGAACAGACCTGTAACCCAACCAAACTCAATTAAACGCCGAACAAGACTGCTTAACTAACCGATCTCGGGCGGAAGCTCTCTGATATCGTTCTCCCCGGCTCTGAAGATCTTCAACTCGGATAGAAGGCTGGAAAATGAAAATACAAACGGGTCAAAGGTGTCGTTGGAAGAAGTGGAGAAGGAGGAAACAGGAAAGCGGCTCCGACCTCCACGAACCAATAGCGTCGCAGCTACTGCAAAATACGACCAATTATCGAGCTCAGCCGCTTACCCAATTGACGGCGGGAAGGTGGTGAGGCAGTTGCAGCTGACGTTGAGGTCTTGGAGGTTGATGAATTGGCCGATCGAGGGGGGCAGAGACTCCAGATGGTTGGATTCGAGGTCAAGGACACGCAGACGCACTAGGTTGCCGATGCTGCTTGGAAGGTGCTGTGGACAAGAGCATACCGACACTGACAGCCTACGTGTCCGAGGTTAGTGAAAAAACCTGCTGTATCGACGACTTACTCTAAGCTGGTTGTAGTTCAGTCGGAAGACTTCCAGAGCCCGCAGCGCCTCCACCTCGTCCGGTAGGCTGGAGAGGTGATTGGAGCCAAGATCTAGTTCAACGAGGTTGTTCCAGTGGAGCAGATCTGAAAATTAGCACACCGCGGTTAAGACCTGTGACTTTGTAGAGAGAGGAAGCGACGAAATTTCAACAACCAGGCACCTCCATACCTTCAGCATGCAGCTCGACGATTTCGTTGTCGCGGAGATTGAGCCTGGAAACCTGGCGGAGGTGCTGGAGAACACCGGGAGGCACCTCGGTAATGCGGTTGTGGTCCATGTTCAGCGTCTACAATGAAACAACGGTAGGAGTTGAGGACTGCGAGTTAACCTTGCACAAAATCGCCGTGCCACCGCACTCACCGCAACATGAGAATACTGCTCTTGGCCACCGGGAGGAAAGACGCTGAAGAAGTTCCGCGAAAACGTCACATTTCGAACTGACGTCATACTGGCCAGAAGGCCAACCTTGGGACAAGAGGACGTTTGTTAGTCAGGGCGGCCTCCACAACCACCGTCGTCGTGAAAACTACACAGCGGACACACACGATCGCTATTAACGGGAGGGGGGAATAAGATTTATTGAACTAAAAGTAGAGGGTCTTGTGAGTGTGTGTCTGTGTGTGGCGTACGACGGATCCGAGACAAAAAGTGTTGCGCCCCGATTGGTCGGCTTCGAGGTCGTCTGAGGGATCAGCCAATGGCGACACGAGGAACGAGCGCGCGTCTACTGGGACGCGAATTTTAACCGGACCGGGGGTAAAGCTACCACACATCGTGATTAACACGTGCTGCCCTCCCAAAGCCTCACGTCGCGCATCACGTATGCGCTATAGCAGTTTAGTTGTCAATGTAAAAAAAAAGCAAGTGGAATTAAGGCCTTACAGGGAGCTTGGCGAGTTGGTTGTTTTCAACGTTGAATTCGTCAAGTCGCGTGCACTTCGCTAGAGACTCGGGGACTTCAACTAGGCGATTGTACCTGCAGTGGGAGAGAGCGGAAATTTCAGAAAAAAAAAACAAGAACGAGGGAGCAATTAGCGACGAGGGGTTGTGTGTGTGCGCTACACGACAACGTCAATTAAAATCGCTTAAACAAGGTGACGAGTAATCGCACACACGCACACACACACAATTAACTGAGTGCGCATTCGATTTAGTTGTATTTTAGCAAACATTTGAAAATGGCTAATTGCGAATTCGCACTAGATTATGAGATCAGCGGATTCCATAATCCACACGCTACACACACACACACACACACACACACAGACGTTTGTATGCTCTCTAGCCAGGAGTAATTTAGCCGTGTTCAACAAGCTGTTGTCTAGTTCTGTCAACCAGACGCGATAAGAGCTATTCTCCATTGATAGGAGAGGTGCCCAGAACGAACAGAGGTCATGTTAACAGCAGTGCAGAGGTAGCAGTGGTTAATGCACAGTCAGAACTCACAGAACCACGGCGAAAGCTCTACTTACTTGAGCATTAACCGGGTGAGGTTGGTTAGGTGTCCGATAGACTCAGGGAGGTGGGTTAGTTGATTGTAGTGGAGGTATAGGTCGGTGAGTTGAGTACACTGGCCAAGACCTGCGCAGTGAAGAAGAAAGATAAGCATGGGAGGTTGCTCTAACAGTGAACTACCACCACCAACACCCCCTCCAACCAATCATGTAGCTTCACGTCCATCGATCGTGTGGAACCGTTTGTATTGGTCAAAAACCCTCAATAGCACAATTAGTCTGAGCCAGTTAATGGTTTTCAATTGGGATTAGATGACGTACTTGGTGGAAGCGACTGAATGTGATTGTAGGAGAGGTCAAGTTTGGTGAGGAAAGCCAGCTGGCCTATCGTGGAGGGGATATCGTGTCGAATTGAGTTCCGATTAACTATAAGGATTGTAAGCCGCTGAAAGGCACAAAAAAGGGAGAAGTGAGGCTTGAGGCCTTGAGGCACTGGAGACAGCGACCTCCACGAGCATTACTTGGAGGTTCTTGATGTCGTCGCTGAGGGTGTGGAGCTTGTTGTAGCTGAGGATGAGCTGTTTGAGTCCGCTGAGGGCGTACACGCAAGCGGGCAACTGACCCTCGAGTCGGTTATGCCGGAGATCCAACACCTCGAGCGACTTCAGATTCGCCAGGTCCGCGGGCAGACCAGCGCAGACGATGGCGTTCTGCTGGAGCAACAGACGACGCAGATTCGGCAGACTAGTCAGCTGGCCAGACGGCAGACCGGTGAGCTTGTTGCCGTTGAGGAAGAGGGTCTCCACGTGGGGCAGTTCTTTGAAAATACCCGTGGGGAGAAACTGGAGGCCGGAATCGGAGAACTCGAGGTAGCTCGACTCCTCGGCTTTACACCTGGTCAGCTCCGCTGTCACATCCTAAAGCACAAAAAACCGATTCGACGTGACCTAAAATGGTTTGTGTCGACTTGGCAACCATGAACCACGCACAGCCAATCTGATTTAGAGGTGACATCTTTAGAGGTCGAGTTCCATGCACACAGATTATCCGAATTAGAGTTCAAAACCAGATAACGGGGGCACGCTGACAAACAAGAGAAACCAACTCGTTGGTAAAACGAGTGTCGATTGTCAGAACTGCCGTCTACCGAAGTCAACCAGCTAATCCCCAGTAGAGATAATCAGCTTGCTTTTCTTGTTGAGAACCGGATATACAGAAAATTTTTTAAACGAATGGATTAGCGGATCATTAGTAACATACGATCGCAAGAAATTTGGCACATAACCAAACGGGTGCAGCCAATAACCAAAAGATGATGAGATTGCGTGTGAAAGTAAAACTACATCAAGCTTTACTCCAAGTATACAATTTACGAAATTCACATAAAGGTTTAATCACTCCTGAAATAGGATATTCTTTCGCTTGTGTGAAAAGGACATATGCAGCCCAGAAATCAACGCCCAAATCACGTGAGGGGAACTACTATAAACACAATCCATGGTGGAGCAATGCCTGTTCCCACCACCTTAAAACGAAAGGGCACCAGAATAAAACTAACTTTTTTGCGAAGCAAAATAAGAAGTCGCTTGAAGTGTTTGCGCGCTAACAAATCACCCTGGGCTGATTCCAAGACAAGTATTTATGGCTGACGGTAAAATCTCATGGTAAACAAGATGATAAAATTTACGTTCAACCATGATGTTTAGGTGGAATGTGCACGATTCACAGGATGCCTTCACGCACGAAATTAATCGGGAAAGACGGAAGTGCGGTTGAATTTAATCGAGGAAATTTATCTTTCAACTTTTAAAAACCTCAACGAATCACCGAGATTAGAGCTCTGAATTTAGATTATTTAATAGCTTACGTACAATTATTGTGGCTAAATCAGCCGTTTGGAGTTGATACGCACGATTAATAAAATTGCCATATTAGAGGAGTGGTGCAATAACACTGAAGAAATTCGTAGGGATTTCGTGAACCAAATTTATCATGCCCCTAGCGAATAGTATGTTTAAGATTGATAAATACATTAGGACGCAAGAGCAAGAACAAACAATAGCCTAAAACTGACAAACCCATAGATGCTAGAACTAAACGTCGAAAACTATGTTTAATTCTGGCACAGTGAGAGAATGGCCTTGCAATGACAAAAACATACCGGCGGCTTTTCCTTCTTCGCATTTGATTTGGCAGCGGATTTAAATTTCCTGCCTTCAAACTGCATTTGAACGGACTTCTTGTGACCATCGGACAGTCGAAATCCGCTTGCACGACAGGGCAGACGGATGGGCTTTGAGCTACTATGAACTGATATGTCACCATTATCACTCATAAAATGTTCTTCCCGTGTATACATGCATTCCTCGGCTATTTCGACTGCTGACGCGAAAGGAGAACATTCACGGGTCGAGGATGATTTTGGCGAATTATGATCTGAGGAAACACCTCCAGCCAAGTCTGCTAAGCAATCAAACTCGCCCAGTTGTTCCTCTTCTGAATCACCGAGAGGTTCCGTGGTTAG